CAAGGTATTTGGATGTAAAGCTTGAGGTCTCTCTTGTCTCTTGTTTTGTAGCTGCTGTAGCTTCATAGGCAACCTTGGAAGCAGTTTGAGGACTAAAGCGAACGAGGAGGAAGGATATAGTTGGTGATCTGGAAAACGGTGGTTGGAGAAATAAAAATCATAAAAGCCTTGATGGCTTGCTGGGGTGACAGTCTGACTTCCAGCCGGTGAGAAGATCAGTGACAAACAAACAGCCAGACTTGTTATTCTGCGGGTACCTATGCCATGATTCCTGCCCTTATCACTGGCATCGCGTAATTTTGTTACACGTGGTAAATATAGGATGGTTTGTGACAGCAGAGATCAGATAAAGTGAGAGTGCCTGGGCAGGGGAATGTGGAAATGGGGCTGAATGCCTAAACAGGCTGTTGTGTGAAGGAGAGAGACTGATGATTGTGGCAGGCAGATTGAGGCACTAAAGAATGGCAGAAGCAAGGGATCCTGTCCCATGGAAATGTGTCATGAAGTCAGTTCTATTAACATCTTAATAAAGGCTTCCCAGGCCCTGGAGAGCATTCGTGAGCAGACTGCCTTCTCCTCTCACATAGAGGCCCAAAGCTGCTGCTGCTGCTGCATGTCAAGGAGAGAACAGTTAAGTTCTGCCAGTATTGCATTGTAAGAGTGTTAGGCTTCCCAAAGGAGCAGCCTAAATGCCTACCCACAAACATGCTCCACTAAATTCCTTTATTCCCCTTTCCCTCTACTTTCATTTACTGTCCATTTCTCCATCTGTTGGATTTAGTGGCCCTACAAAAGGCTTTGTTTCAGCAAGCTGGCAAGCTGTGGGACAGCAGAGTGTGCATTGGGGTTCACTGCTAAACTTGCCACCATCAATAGGGAGAGCAGGATCTAGACTGGCCACGGCTGCACGGCAGAGGGATGACTGTTAACCATTCCCTCTTGGTCCTCTGATGAGACCGGCTGGAGCCTGTCTGGAAGCTGGAGACACACACACAGCCTATATCTTGTTGGGGGGGGAAAAAAAAGGGAAAAAAAGCCTACAGCTTGACAGATATGGGGAAACAAACTCTCTCAACAGGCTTATCACAGAGTTACAGAGAATAAAAGTCCCAGCACGGTAACTGCTACAGCAGAAAAGGTGGCTTTTTTCTTTCAAGTACTCACTGTATATGATGAAAAATGAAATGCAAAGTGGCATTGATTTTTGCACTCTGTGCTATGTGTTGTTCATACTGAGCAAGCTGCTACTTAACAATGTAGTGGCCTGTAGTCATCAATTTAAAATGGTTTCAACGATTCAATAAGTCACTGAAGGCAACAAGCACAACTACTCAAGATGATGAAAACGGCTACAGCAGCATGACTAGACCATTAAATGTAGCCCTGTGGTGTTTTCAAACATCTGCCATTGTGTGGAAATTATCAAAGAGTAATTCTGTCCTGTATCTTCCCTGGCATCTATAGGTTCAAAATATCAGGGGAACTTCTTTAAATGAGGATATAAAAACACAGAAAGCAGAACAACGGATTGAGTATTGGATAACAGGTTTTTTTTTAAATGGGTACAGAGTGTTGAATAACTCTTTCTGCACTAAGAAATTGAAAAAACACTTCATAATGATGCCTCACCAATATCTGAGAATCAAAAGTTTCTTGTGGTGTAATCCACAAGCAGAGCTCCAGACTTTCACTCCTAATTTAACATATAAGCCGTTGTACAAACGTTTGATAGGATAATCATCACCTAAAGAAACTCTCTCTACTTGGAATCTGATGCAAGACTCATCAGAGATCAGTTTTTAAAAAGAAACTTTTTACAATCAGTATCCAGAGGGGAGAGAGCAAGCACGGAAGATATAAATTGAGCAGAGTAGTGGTTGTGATCTTCTGCTTTTCACTGAAGCCAACCAAACTCATCACAGACTAAATGTTCTCCCTGGCTCCACTTGATCATTATCACCAAAGATCCAGATCTCTCTTATGTCAATTCTGTTTCTCTCGCTCACAGACACAGACACACACACTCAACATAAATACAGATTCCAGACACAAGCATGTGCATAGCAAGGCTGAGTGAGCGGAGCGTGTGTGGGTCAAGTAGATTGAGATCTCTGTTGTGACAGCTGGACAGTTGAGAGGTTCAGATAAACAGCCCACAGTGAGGGAAGACAGGAGGCCAATTGCATTAAAACAAACACTCAGTATTTGTACACTCTATCAGATAGGAAAGAGAGGACCTATATCTATAAGAGAATGAGTCGGTGAACCCACAAAAGCACCGTTATCAGCATGTGTTCAAGTGTTTATGTATGTGTGAAACCAAAAGACAGTTGGGACAGTGGGGGTTGTTGTAAGCTTGGGGTGGGGGGGGTGTTCGGAATACACAGCCGCTGAGCACATTTGCAGTATTCACTCATTAAGAAATAGGTCAAGGATTCTGCCTGCATGCGTAGCGACTTGTCAAAATCTCTCAAGCTAAATTGTGGCTGCCTTAAGGGGGGGAATCCAAAGAGGAGCAAGCGGCATGCTGTGTGAATGCTGGTGGTGAGAAAAGCAGCAACAACTCATTCAGCAGCAAATTGTGCTTTTAAAAAACTGCTCTGAGTATCAGCACCGCTGCTAAAGAGTCCAAGTAAAAGGACTCGACCGGAGAGGGGCTGTGTGTTCACATTATATAGCCAAATAATTAACTCAGCTCCTTGTTTAGACTCTTTGCTCTTCATCAACAGAGGACGCTCTTGAGCCAGCAAGAGTTTGTCGCAGATACTGATGGATGCTGATGGTGGCAGCGGTAGCTGTAGCGACAGGCAGCCTTGTCCAGGAGATTATGATGCCTTAGACTCTCTTCAAACAAGGCAGAGCACATTAGAGGACCAGCTTCTCTTAAGAAACTGATATAGGTCATTCATTTAAACAAAGCAAATGAAATTCCAAAAGATGTTTGGCATGAAGACAATATCCAGAATAATTCAAACAAAAATGCATCTATGCTGTACGCTGCTCAGACTACACTATTAAAGAATGAGAGATTGAAACATTCCCTGGGGAAATCTAGAAGTAAAGTACAGACCTATGCAAATCATTCCAGAATGCACTGCTGATGACACAGCGACACTAAATATCTAATCAAAATAGCCCCTTATAAAGAGGTAAAGTGGGGAAGCAGTGGCAGAGAAGCATCAACAAAGCTTGATCCAACTTTGTCCAGTCAAAGCAATTTCTCTCCAGCTTGGTGAGGTTAACCTTATTGATTGGATGGATGTGTGATGTTTTGGTTCTCAAAAGGCGTTCTTGAACGGCATGAGTTCAAAGACTTCACTTGAAAGCAATTCATTGAGCAGAATTCTTAACATTTCTGCTTATATCCTCCATTATTTGAAAGGGGAACAAATGAACTGAAATTCTATGCTCTCAGAAATATTTCACATGATGAACAGCAGAAATGTTTTTAACTAACAGTAATGCAGACATGGGTTACAGAAGATTCATAAATGATAAAAAATAAAGTTGAACTAAATAGAAAATAGCATAGTCATATAGCAGCTGCTGGCTGGTCAATCGGATAATGAAAGCACCACAATATTACAGAATGTCTCCTTTTTCTTCATTAGATTGGAGTTAATTGGGTGAATATAATCAGAATGTGATAATCAAACCAATGCTGAGTGCTGGTTTGTTCTTCCAAAGGCAGCAATTTCCACCCTGGTGGTTGCTTTGGGGTCAAACTACTGTTTCATTTTGAGATGGATATTAAAATAATTATCTGAATGGGTCACGCTTCAGATGCAAAAAAAACCTGATTGCACCAAGAAGGAAGGGGTTTTGATTGCACAAGCCGAGGGATTAATATGCTACCCATCAGCCGTAGCAGATGTAAGTCATTTTCATGCAAATGTAAGGCAATTTTCTACTTAAGACAACATTTATTTTCTTTAGAGTCATTGTCATGGGTGCTTGCTGGTGAACTGGCAGTCAGACAGAGAAGGAAGATTTGTAGGTGCATCTGCTGATCTGGACAGACGAGGTCTGAAGTCAACCTGGAATACTAAATTGTTGCCAGCTGGCACTATTACATTACGTTGTTGTTGTTTTCAGTGTTATAGTTTAGGTTTTTGGATTTTGCTACTTGAGAATGAGCCAACAAAAGTGACAAAATTTGCATAATGTCACGTTGTGAGACCAAGTCATTTTGAAGTGAGATATTTAACAATCTCCAAGTCATTCTGACTTTAAATTCATAGATCACTTGTTGCAGAAAGGCAAGGATCCAGATCTGTAACCTGTTACCTGCCAGTATATCAAAAGTAATAACTATGTGTAGTCAAAAGCAAATTTTGATTTTTTGTTAACACACAAAGGCTATTTCCTGAGGATACTGTGTGGAAGACCATGCATGTGTAATTGTGAGACGCCAACAAGGTCAACAAATCAAAATTATTAGAAAGCCAAGCTCTGTGATGACTGCAAGCAACGCATTATAAGCACTCTAAAAATAACTCCTCTGGTCAAGTAAGTTCATTATATACTTACACAATCAGAAGAAACTAACAAGCAAGAATGATGCTAACCTTATGATGTATCACCTCAGTAAAACCTACTGTAATCCAGTAATTCTTATGTACTGTGAGGCAACCAAATTCTAATGAATAGGGGAAAGAAGGAGAGTAAATGGCATTAATGTAAAAGATTACAGACCAACGACTGTGCGTAAAGCCTTTTGTTGATCTAACTGCAGTGCTTTTAAATGCATAAACCCCGCACGGTATTTACAATGCCACCTTGTCATTCTAGTGGGAGCAGTGGCAACGATACAATGTACCCCAGCACTGCACACAGCCTGCAGCCTGAGATGAAAAATGCCTCTCCACAGTTGACTCTCCGCAGTGTCGGATATTAGCTCTTTGAGGAACAGAGTGGCTGACAGTCATAGGGGATTTACGCAAATATTTGTGCCCGGTAAGGCTGATTTAGCCTTAACGAGCGTGCTGATCATCACTCACCTCTTCATTTAAAGTGAATCTCCCGGTTATCCCTATCCTGTTCCCTCCAATGCTGCTGCTGTCTTCTGGGCTTTAACTGATGCGCTGGACTCGCTTCAGTTCCAAAGCGGGTAAGAAATGTTTCCAAATGCTCGAGCAGGTCAAACTGTCCCTTTCAGGATAGTTTTAATAGTCAGTAGCCTACTCTTCCAATTTATAAATACTGCCTGTACGCATACGGAACCTGTGAAGGGACGGCGTCATTCATTGAAGTTGAAACCTTCGTCGTCGCCGGTAATTCCGAATTCAGCGCGTAAACTTCGTGGCAGAGCCTTCACCATCTGAACTGACCTGTTACTTTACCAGACCATGTCACAGAAACGGCACATTCCTTCAGTTTGGCATTCACCGTCCTCCGAGCTGCTCTGTAGGACATGAAGGTTATGTACAAGCCGTGGCCAGAGTTGCCATCATCTGGCGTTGTGATTTCGCAGCATCGGTTCAGACCCGCAGCGTGGCTTTCTCACAGGGCTCTGCCGGACTCATAGAAATCGGCTCCATCAATGTACAGTAGTCTGTCTATGCTGCCTGTAGCTGGCACACTGCGCTTTTAGACCCAGCCCCCTCACACTCCTCACGCTCATTATGGTGTTAACTGTTTCCGCCCAAACATTAATCATACATAAAAGAAATAAACATTTACGTCGGCTACCATTTAATAATTCACCAGTTTTAGTACAAAACGTGGAGTTATAAAAAGTAAAAGATTTTAAACGTTAATATTTAATCACACACACATACAAACACGGCGGGTTAGAGAAATGTGCAGAGCACCATCTACCCACCTGCCAAATTACATTTTACCAAAAACAATAAAAATAATATGCTTCAGTAAATATACACTAAAGTTCTGTAGCGTATTAAGCATGATTAAGAGTTTGGAAAATTCTTTTAACAAATGTCTAGTTGTAGTTTTCTTTTTAGGAATCGCCTATATAACTATAAGATATTTGTATCACAATTATGAAAAAGAAAAAAATCTTACCTATGACAGCATTTTGTCCTTGCAGAGCACACTGAAGCCGGTGTCGGTGGCATGTGCTCGTCCAGCTCTGTTTCTGTTAGAGTACTGCCATCTATGGATTAAACTGTGAACATACTTCTCGCTCCATCTCTCTCGCTATCTCTCTCTCTCTCTCGCTCTCACTCGCTCTCACTCGCTCTTATATTTTTGGCATTTTACATTTATGACATTTTACAAAAAGAATCATTATTTCTTTTTGGGTTTATTTTCTCTTCATCTGTGTATTTATTGCCCCACTCAACAGCTGATCTGAGCAGTTCTGGAGTGTTCCAAGTTTGGAAATGATACTCACAAAAAACAAAGCGTTTTCTAATCCTTAAATCTTTTCCTAAAATGCGTGATATTAGTGACAAATCGCCTTGAAGTTATGGTATGTTGCCAGATGCCCATGCTTTGTCTCCTCTTTCTGCTGCAGTGTCTGTTTTGATTAGTTTGGTTGTGTGCGTGTGTGTGGTTTTTAGCTCTAGAAAAAATGTTTCTAGTGTTTTAGACTTCAGTATCAGCTATGTTCTATTTAGTTTGAAGACATTCAAGAATCTTTGACATGACATATTAGCATTTTCCCCTAAATGCTTTGATCAGTGATACTTTTAATGCTCTTTGCATGTGGCACTGAGTGGGTCACTGGGCAATGCTGTAGAAAAGCTACTGTATTTGAGTTTATTAAGCTAAAAAACACAAAGCTAATGCCATTTAGCCCATGGATTTTGCACTTCAGACCTGTGATTGTTTGTCCACTTCCTGTTAGCAAGGCTCCTATGTTTTCGACACTTAGCCCAGTATACTGATGATTCACATCAGTAACTGTTTGTTCTTGAAAACAACTTAAGGAAAAGCAGCAGGGATTCTTGAGTCAGTAACCAAGCAGTGTTGGCTTTTAACACTGAACAGCCATTGCTTTCAGATACATAAACAGTAACATTGTTTAGTTATGAAGAAGTTCAATATATTTAATTTTGTTATATTTTTCATTCATATCCTGCAATTTGATCAAATCTTTCTGCCTGGTACTTGTGTACCCATATGGTCTGTGGTAGGAGCTTCTTTTTTTGTACATGCAGAGAGCAAAGCGAACTAGAGTCAAATTCTTTTTTTGTGTGCACAAACTTGGTCAAATAAAGATGATTCAGATTCAGATTTCTTCTATTTTTAACCTCACTTCAAGGTAACATCATGTGCAGTTGGCTGTAAATGTTTGCATTTTGAGGAGATTTTGACTTTTCCAACCAGAGACACTGATGTTTATCTGTGCATGAAACAGACATGAGGTACTAAAAAAAATAAAGGTGGACTGCATGTATCCACACACATATCTGCAAGTGTACATAAAATAAAAGCATAAAATAAAAATGAAACTGCTGCAACCGGTTTATATTTTGAAGATATGCTAAATTTCAGAGCAGCCTCAAAAAAGTTGAGCAGTTGGTATTGGTATCGCATTAACTGGATCAGCTTGTACAATGCAATGTGTATATTTATTATATATTTGTGTATCATATTGTGTTCTGTTGCAGTAACTCACAGTAATTACTTTGAACTAGTTATACCACAACCCCCTCACCTTCTCTTGCATTTGTACGCTCAGTGGCTTATGACAAAAAGTAGGCTATCCACATCTTCTGACGCATCAATAATGCAGTGTAGTGAAAAACTAGCCCGGATCTGCCATCAAAACTATTGCAAAACTGCCAGGAGGAAGAAGATGTGGAACAACCAGCGTAAGTACACTAAAAGCACAGCGCCCACTTAAAGACAGGGTCAATAGCTGGAGGGTGTCCATATTGGAATTCCACCGCACTGCCTCTCAAATGGATCTTAGTCAACCCTGGGCAGCAGGGGTAATCAAATACAGACTTTTTCAATCCATTACTCATGGCCCTGTTTGGAACAAGCTGTGATTTGTTTGATTGGAGCATAACTCAATTCATATTGAAAGAACTGGTTGCACAAAACTGTCTGGAAGACATTTTGCCTGTTTTATGTAGAGAAAGATGATAGATTAACCCATTTTGTACAGTGAAGCTTGGTTATTACATACAGTACAATTCTATCAGTCATGTTTCACTTTAGGACACATATTGACTGACTAAGCCTGGCTCCTGATTCTGTAACAGAAAAAAACAAAAAGAAAATAGAAAGAGTTTGTAGCTCTGATTATCAATATTTAGAAAGTAAATGAGAATTGCAAGGACTGTAAATATACGTAGCCCAATTCATCATGTATGATATTAATTTCTTGAACTTTGAAAACTTTGTAGAAAATTTAATTACTTTTTTATTGTCTGTCAAAAGCACAAATATGTGTAGTAGGAAACTATTGATACTTGCTTGGTTATGTTTCATACTTAGCTCAGTTCCTCCAAGCTGTTTAATTCAATAAAAAGATACAGTGCTTATCAAAATGCTCATAACTCAGAAATAGTCTAAGAACTAAAACTTAAAAATTAAAACAACAGAATTCAAATTCTGGATCTTATATAGCATAAAGCTGTGTGAAACTGCTCCAACTTTTCAGTGGTATCAGCGGCTTTCAGTCCGGGCACTTTTCCGCCCCGTATGAGAAATCAAAGCACATATTCAATTCAGTTCACTTTTATTTACACGGCGCCAAATCACAACAATAGTTGCCTTGATGCACTTTATATTGTAAGGTAGACCTACAGTAACACATACAGAGAAAAACCCAACAATCATATGACCCCCTATGAGCAAGCACTTTGGTGACAGTGGGAAGGAAAAACTTGATTTTAACAGGAAGAAACCTCCAGCAGAACCAGGCTCAGGGAGCGGCGGCCATCTGCCATGACCGATATCATTGGTATCAATGGTCTTTAGGGTGTGGCTACTAAAGGCAAACCACAAGTCAATTTACATTAATTTTTACATTTGGTTTGGTTTATAAATAAGAAACCAAGTAGATTCAAAGCCCAAAATGGATAAAGAAGTTAATAACTGAAACCATGATTGTGTGATATTTAATGTCTGCTTTTAATCAATGCATCTACATGGAGGCTGGGTAGATACAAACATGCTTTAAAGCATGGCTGATTAGAAATAGAGGGCAGTAATTTGTGAAATAGCACAAAGCTTCACTGTTATAAGATCAGTTCAGTGAGCAAATCAAATAGTGGTCAGGTGGACGAGTGTTCACATTGCTGGGGAAGAGACGCCCAATGTGGGGGGATGGCTGACTGCAGGGCTGCTGCTTGACCGTTTGCTGATCAAAGTGCTCACATGCCGCGATTTCATACCAAGTTGGAAGGTTTCAAAGGGCCCTCTTGTGATGCCTTTAATTCTTTCACCCTCTAGCAATATTTGAAGTATCACGAGGGAACGTGGCATCATGTCAACTCTACTGAAACTGAAACATTCTGCCTTCTCTCTTGCTCGCACATGCAATCAGCTTAACTGGAGAGTGAAAAATGTAACAGGAAACAACCGGATTAAAAAATTTAACTGTCAGTCATATGCATGTGGTGCCAAATAATTCTGTTCCATGGTAAAGTCTTAGGTTTTTTGTTGCAGAATTTAATATTCATAACATAAAAAATAATTATTTTATTGTCAAGAAGGCAATAGATCAGTGTGAAGGTGACATTAAAACTCATAATGGTCTAATTCAAGCTCAAATGATTGCATTCTGTGTTCCCATTTTAGCTTCCAGGTGTATATTTAGTTTTACTCTTAATTGCAGAGCGGCAAGAAGGAATCCTCAAACTTGGATTTGTGTGTCAGTTGAACTATGTCCATTATGTCCATCTATCCTGCTGCTTACTTTTCACCATTCACTTGTTACTGGGTACCAGATACATACTCAAAAGGCTCTGGGGAATATTGCAATGCAATCAGCAAATGCACACATTCACACTCTTACACACAGAAACCACATTCGCACAAGTGGCCGATTACATCAGTAATAGCTCACTGATGGAGCCTCAGCTACCATGTTGTGATGAAGGGCTCGCTTTTTTACTCTATGCTGAGGAGAAATATTTCACACAGGAAGTGAGCAGAAGAGAAAAAGAAGCAAAATGAAAATTAAATCTGACACTATCATGCCCTGTTTGGGTTTTAGCCAACAAATTGCAGCTATTTGGAGGCAGTGAGAGTGAGCTCTCAGTGAGTTTAGTTTGAAGAGGTTTCATATTTGTTATGTTTTCTGTCTCCTCTCCATGAAAAACAACCAATCCAGAGGTTCAGTAGAAGATAATGTGTTCGATCTTCGGCACAAACGTATGTCTGTCACTGGAGGACTTTTCTGAACTTGTCGGTATTTGTCAGCAGATATCAAAAATGCAATTAATTTCCACAGATATGCACTCGCAGGAGACATGGTAATTGCAAGCTCCTCTAATATGCTTGCCGAGTGAAGCATTGTATGAAAATATTTAGCGTTATTGTCATTATTTTGTCCTTGCTTGGAGGCATTCCATGAGATTCAGCTTTGTGCTGTAATCTAAAGCATCACATGGCAACAAATCATGGACATGTCATCCATCAGTATGGA